TATAAATTCGACTATTAACAAAGCTAAAAACTTTGTATTTGTCCTTCTTTTCGCCGTTCTCACCATCAGCAATACTTTTAAAAAGTTCACAAAAACGGCGAAAAGAAGGACAAATAAAAAGTTTTTAGCTTTGTTAATAGTTGAATTTATATTTTTTATGTATTAAATGTAAATAACGCCGGCCATGGATTTTATTATTTTTATAAAGATGATTATCATGGCTAACAGCTCCTTAAGAAACAATTACTAAAATCATGAATGTAATCAAAATACAAACAATATAATTGTCATATAAAAGATTAATCCCACAGTTAATTAATTCATAAATATTACATTAATAATTATGGAATTTCAGTTATTGTATCAGTGGCATATCCAGGATTTTGAGAATATGGCTGCTCAACACAGTTTTGAGGAGTATCAAGGCACGTACTATCATTTTTTAGAGAATGTTACTTGATTGTCTTAGTTACCTAACTTTTTATATCATCCATTTTTTTCATTAGTTTTTTGAAATTGTTAAATGTAGGATGGAAAATGAATAATCAATAATGTTGAATTGATAGATTGATTTTAAAGTATACAAATTACAGTATGATTATATTCTGTACAATTATAAAAGGAAGAATAGAAATGTATAAAATCATTACATTTCTTATTTTCATCAGAAAGGATCAAAATTAATTATTTTGAATTCATATATAATTAGCTTTAGTCTGTGCTTTACACTTTCCAACATGTTTTTCCAAGAAATACCAATTTAATTTTATTTTTTCTATTTGTATAAGACTACTTTCTGCCATTGAAGTCACACAATATGAGTTATTAAGTTTATTTTTTTAAATAAAAAAAAAAAACTGATTGCTTTGGTAACAAGGAGAGAGCTGCAGCACCACACACACACTCTGGTTATGCCCCTGCTATGTATGAAAGCTTGAAGTTGAAAATGTTAGACTAACTTATTTTGCTATAGAATAAATTATAATTGCTGTTGAATGGAAACTGAAGTATAACAATTGACTAATTGTTATACAGTGGACCCTCCTATAATGCGGAGATATGTTCCTCGTTATACGAATTTCGCATTGTAGGAATCCTTAAATACGTGAGCCAATCACAGCCCAACACGTGTGAAGTTTACGGACTATGGCTGTTTGAAAGGTTTTCTTCCATAAAATTAATCGATTCTAGACTAATTCGACTTAACATTTTCAAAACACGTATATAATTTTTTGGGAATAATCCGTATAAACTATGCTATAAACAAAAAATTGTAGGATTACTTACCGAGTGTGCACCGTTCGACATCGCCATTGCTTAAGCTTGTTTTCGTCATAAATGCAGGAACTATTCTATTCTCAACACCGGGATGAAAATAATGTCACACTATTGGAACCTGTGACTGGTGCTCTATGCGTATACGTTAAATATTGCTTGACAAACGTTTTCGAGCGTTCTGTTCGCTCTTCTTCAGGTCAACTGTGAGAATTCCCCAGACGGAGTGTATATTATTCTTCTCTAGGATCAGGTGTTGGTTCTGAGGGGGTGGGTCGCTTCTGGTATGTGCGGCCGTGCGGCAGGGGAGGAAGTGGCGGATTGGCGTCCAATAGTGATTGCCAGACCAGAGACAAGGTCAGTTCCTCTTTCCGGTTAATGTAGGTGGTTAGCCGGTCGGCATTGTGGATAGCCGCAGCTTCCAGCCATCTGAGTTGCTGCTGGTGGAGCGTGTTGACAATAATGGTAGCCCTCTCGAAGTGTACTTCGATTTCGGGGTTCGATGCATATGTGGCTAGGGCTGTGGTCAGCCTCCTGTGCCGAATATCTGCTTGGTGTTCACGTAGGCAGGTGTTTAAGAAGCGTTTGGTTGAGCCGATGTATAGTAGTTCCGCGTTTTGTCTATTGTCACGGAGCGGGATAGAGTAGATTCCGGGGAGTCTGGTGCGATCAGGAGGGTCCTTATCATTCCTTAGGATGCAGAAAATCGTGGGGCATCTTCTGTACGCCAGTCAAATCCCGTGCTCTTTGGCTATTTTTCTATGTACAGTCTTGAGGTGCAGGTTGTATGTGATGGGGATCCGTGCTGGGTTATCTCGTTGTGGGTCAGCAGCGATCTCTGCGGTTAGGGCGTGTTTCCGGCATTGCTACTGTTCAATTAAGCGGTGCGTCATGTTCGGGAATCTGTGTTCGATTGCTATTCTTTTGATGCAGGCTAATTCATTTGTCAGGGCTTGCTTGGTGGATGAGTGTGAGAACGCCCTCTCCACAAGAGCCCTAAATGCGGCTGCCTTGTATGGGAACAGGTCACAGGAATCGGCTGGTATGTACGTGGGGGTGGATGAGGGCTTGTGGTATATGGCTGTTTGGGTACCTAAGGTACCTAAGGCTAACCAACGCCCCACATTCCCGTTTATCCTTTGGGATGGCATCCAACCACCTAACTTTGTTATAGATGTACTTAGATATGGCCCAACCTTCGCACCCCCACCGCCCAAGAATAGAACCAGAGACCTCATTCCGGATATAGAATACCTTGTAAAAAGCCTCACAGACACGCAGAAGGAGTATTACAGATGCATATCTTCGATAAACATCATGAAAGCTAAGGAACAGCAAGAAATCATAGAGCTCAGGGACAAACTGAATTGTACTACTAGATGGATGCGAAAGAACGGAGTAATTCTCACCAGAGCAGATAAGTCCAGAACACTGGTCCTCATGAAACGCAATTCATACCAACAGAGTTTAAGAGAATACATCGATAATACAATGTGCAAGAAAGAGAAGGACGATATAATTGACAGACTACAGGCTAAAGTTAGACGTCTGGCTGACTCTAAATTAGCTAGACGCCTGGCACTTTGTGACATAGTGGTCGATTCGCCCGATGTCCCTAGACTTTTCGCCTATGCTAAGACACATAAGACAGGCCAACAGTTACGCCCAATTGTAGACAAGGTGAGAGCGCCCACGAGAAAGTTAGAAAAAGCCATACACAACCTTCTAACTCCCCATCTGGAAAACTACCCTTACAACGTAAATAAACCGACCGACCTCATCCGCCTCCTGCAGGACCTACCCTCCCCACCACAGTTTATGACAGTCCTGGACTTCAAATCTATGTACCCCTCAATAGAACTACCCCCAACCTTCTGCTCCCTCAGAGATTTTTTGTTTAATACTGTTCAGGACCAGGCACTATATCAACAAGTACTCGAGGTGGCCCATCTGGCATGTTATGACTCCGTGTTTAAGTTCAGCGACACTATCTACCGGCAGAAAAAGGGCGTACCAATGGGTAGCCCGCTCTCGGGCAACCTCTGCGAAATGGTCGTCAGGCAGCTTGAGACTAAGGCCCTCCCGCCTTTCCTTCCTAGCATCCTCGTTTATAAAAGATACGTTGACAACATCCTTATCATATGGAAGGAGATACCCGACATGACATCTTTCGTCAGAACCGTTAACAACAACCCTTTTGGCCTAACGGTCGAGCTAGAGCAAGCTGGTACGGAAGAAGTCCATTTCCTCGACATCAGAATAAAGGTAGTAGGACCCACCATCCAAACAGCCGTATACCACAAGCCCTCACCCACCCCCACGTACATACCAGCCAATTCCTGTGACCCGTTCCCATACAAGGCAGCCGCATTTAGGGCTCTTGTGGAGAGGGCGTTCTCACACTCATCCACCAAGCAAGCCCTGACAAATGAATTAGCCCGCATCAAAAAAATAGCAACCGAACACAGATTCCCGAACATGACGCACCGCTTAATTGAACAGTACCAACGCCGGAAACACACCCTAACCGCAGAGATCACCGCCAACCCACAACGAAATAACCCAGCACGGATCCCCATCACATACAACCTGCACCTCAAGACTGTACATAGAAAAATAGCCAAAGAGCACGGGATTCGACTGGCATACAGAAGATGCCCCACGATTTTCCGCATCCTAAGGAACGATAAGGACCCTCCTGATTGCACCAGACTCCCCGGAATCTACTCTATCCCGCTCCGTGACAATAGACAAAACGCAGAACTACTATACAACGGCTTAACCAAACGCTCCTTAAACACCCGCCTACGTGAACACCAAGCAGATATCCGGCATGGGAGGCTGACCACAGCCCTAGCCACATACGCATCGAACCCTGAAATCGAAGTACACTTCGAGAGGGCTACCATTATTGTCAACACGCCCCACCAGCAGCAACTCAGATGGCTGGAAGCTGCGGCTATCCACAACGCCGACCGGCTAACCTTCGAATAAAAGGATAAGAGAGCTGTCCAATTTTAAGCATTGGACTTAGCCCTTAGGAAACTGAAAGAAGGGAAAGCATGAGATTTGAAGTGTGAAATACAGTAGGACAGGATAGTGTGAAGGAAGGCATGGGACCCATGGGCATCGGCTCCGCTTTTATTAAGACAAAATCATACACTTTGTATACCATCCAATTATTTAAGTCCCGACAATTTTAACTTATATATTATTGTACAGTAGTTCGAATAAGAACACAACATCAACATGGTGATATCATTACCTAATGGGTAAGGTTGGAAGAATGGACTACCACCTGTTGTCCAATACCTTTCCTTACAATGGCAAAGATAATAGTAGAAACTGTTCACAATTTACAAGTCCTAAGAGAATGTGTTACAAATTATATACTTATGGTTTACTTAACCATTTACAATTTTCTTTAACCGCCATTGAACTAAAATACCCAATGGGTTTACATGATTATATTGTTAATCCTTAATTACATATACTTTCAATGTCGGTTAGTCCGTGTAGCTGTCTTCGTTGTCGTCTTCGCTTTCTTCACTAGTCGTTATTTCTTATTTGTTCTTGTGGTCCTCATCATCTTCTTCTTTTATATCGGTGTTTTCGTTTTCTGTTTTTGAATTCTCCTCACGTTCATTTTTCTGGTTGCGGCCAGTACGTTGGTGAATTTGGTGAGGAATTTTTACCAGCACTTGCATTTCTGTAATGTAAGCTTCTAATGCCTTCATTAGGTTCTTGTTTGTCACCATGTCTGTGTGTTTTGGCGGCCAGTTGTAACCTGCTCGTAGACAGCTTTCAGTAAGTTTGTCCCGTTGTTTTATGTATTTCGTGCACTCACATATGTAGTGGTGAACATTGTCTTCTTTGTCAATGTCCACATCACACATAGGTTTATCCGTTTTTTTGAAGTGATAAAGATATGCTTTAAAGTTGCCGTGTGCAGTAATGCATTGTGTGTTTCCAAAGGACGGTTTAAAGCTTTTATTTTGTAGTCTATCTTTGATGTTTGGAAAGAATTTGTAACAATGTCTGCCAGTTGTTGAATCATTCCACTCCTGTTGCCATTGTTTGTCCGTTATATTCCTTATTTGTCTTTTGATTTCACTTGTCGGGATCCTGGTGTAGCACTCTTTTGTATTGATTTTTGTTGCACGTTTGGCCAATGCGTCTGCTTTTTCATTTCCGTCGTGACCTTTGTGACTTGGTATCCAGTTGTATGTGATTTTCTGCTTTTTGTGGACTTTTTCTGATAGTTCAATTAGCTCATTTATTAGTTTTGTTCTTCTGTTCTTCGTTTTCAGCAAGTGCAGAGTTGTCTGACTATCCGTGAAAATGTCACCTTTGCGTTGGTTCTTGTTCTTTTCGATGTATTGAAGAGCTTTGTAAATTGCAAAACTTTCAGCTTGTACTGTTGTGCAATGGTTGGCAATTTTCAGTGATGCTTGATAAGTAATCCGGTCATTTTCTCCTTTTATTATTATGCCACTTCCTACACCATCCGGTGTGCGTGACCCGTCAGTGTATATATTTGTTCGTGTCCCTTTGTTTATGTTTTCTTTATAGTTTATGTTGATAGTGTAACTCTCTTTTTCTGTCGGATTTCTTATTGCTGTGGCTTTATCTATGTCTTCTGTGTCATGATTGATAATCATTTTTAATAATTGAACATTATTGGGGAGGTTTCCTGTTTTTATTTCTTTCTTTATTTCATTATCTGTTTTATTATGTATATTTTCCTTTAAAAGATTCCTCTCCCAAATGATCTCCTTTGCTATCAAGTGGATAGGTTTAATTTTTGCAATTACTAGTAGGGCATCAGTGGGAGACGTCCTGTAAGCCCTGCAAATTCGAATGGCGGCTTTCCTTTGGATGGATATTAATTTTCTTCTATTGTGAATGGTGTGCAGTGCTTCTCCCCATACTTGAATACCGTACAGCACTCCCGGCTCTATGGCTCCTTTGTAGATCAATCGAGCATTTGTAGAATTCATCCCCCATGTGTTCCTGCTGATTAGTTCTATTAAGTTAGCTTTTTTGACCATTTTCTTGTAGATTTCTTGTATGTCACTTTTCCAATTAAGACTTCTATCAAAGAATATACCCAGGTATCTGATACTCTGAACGTTTTTGATATTTCTTCCCCCAATTTTGACTCCGATTGGTTTTTTCAGTTCTCCTCTCTTGGTTTTTCTTGTGCAGACTAGTGCCTCACATTTAGAATGGTTGATGGGCTGTTTATATTCGATACTCCAATCGTTTATAATTTTTAGTACTTTGTTTGCCTCTTCCCTTAACCTGTCATGGTTGTTATTTGCGACCATAACCAAGGCATCATCTGCAAATGCTTGTATCCGGATTGTATCAGTATCTGGTATCCTGTTCAATAACCCATCAAACGCCAGGTTCCAAAGACCTGGTCCACTTCTGGAGCCTTGTGGGCACCCCCTTGCTATTGTTTTCGTCACCGTTATGCTGTTTGTGTAATACCCTGCCTTTCTTTCCGTTAAGTAGTCCTTAGTTATGTTTTTTAAGTTGTTGGGGCACTTTATTTCGTTCAGTCTTTTCATAATACCTGGTCACCACATATAGTCAAAAGCTTTTTTGAAATCAATTTTTATTAGGATTGCATGTTGTCCGTTGTTCCATGCTGCCGACCGGCTAACTACCTGCATTAACCGGAAAGAGGAACTGACCTTGTCTCTGGTCTGGCAATCACTATTGGACGCCAATCTGCCGCTTTCTCCCCTGCCACACGGCCGCACATACCAGAAGCGACCCACCCCCTCAGAACCGACACCCGATCCTAGAGAAGAATAATATACACTCCGTCTGGGGAATTCTCTCAGTTGACCTGAAGAAGAGCAAACAGAACGCTCGAAAACGTTTGTCAAG